GTTTCAGAGAGGGACTGTGGGTGTTCAGTCCCTGTGTTCACTCCAGATGTCCTTTCTCCCCACTTTTGGCAAAGATGAGGGACGGAGTGAGTGTTAGTATTTTAGGTTGTCCAAATAAATAAATTGTATATTAGAAGGATTCCAAGAGCGGATGTCTATGGCAGGTCCATAGATGAAAAAAAACCTAACTGTGTCTTGCCTGTGGGGTTAGCTATCTCAGGTCGCTACGTGGAGAACTGCAGTTTAGTTCCAAAAACCTTCTCAGGCAAAAATAAGTCAGAAAAGCTGTTCTTTGTCCTCCTGTGAAACTGTGGCATTTTGTATCCTAAAAATGGTGATTTTTGTACTCCCACCAGCTGGGAGCTATTACAACTGTCATGCTAAGTTAAGCGTGTTTCTGCCTTTCGTTCTAAGAGATGCTCTTTCCATCTTTCCAGTTACCAGTTGCACATTGCCACATACAGTGCAGGCAGCCCATTCTTCTGGCTGCTCCATAGCTTGGCAGAGAAAATCATTCTTTACATTATTTCGCTCATTACTTCCACATCTGCTGTATTGCATGTCTTCTACATAGTGGCTCTGTCTTACGGTCTCTGATGCGCCTGTGCTCTGTGCACATGAGCACAAGGCGCCTGCTAATAGCAGAAGCCGTTCTGATTTTGTGCTGAATCAAATCAAATCAAATTCAGTCTCTTACAAATACTGTTTGTAGTTTTACATGGTCATATAAACATGAATATTCAAGGGACAAAAGCCTGTATACAGAGGGTAAAGCCAGAGCTCTGGTCTCTGAGTCTACAGACAACTTTATGAGCAGTTAGTTTTTGAATTATAGATATGTATGTGTGTATACATATATTTGTATGTCTGTTTATCTTGCATTTAAAAAGAAAACACACATACACCGTAATTTTAGATCACAAATAAACGTTGCATGTTCCTGCATGAGAATGACTGTATTTACTGCCTTTAGTTATGTTTCCCCTATGAATCGAATAAGAAAAAGAATTATTCCTGACAAGTGCAACTTAAAAAAAAAATATTACACAAAAGGTGTCAGTTTTAGCATTTCATACAGAGCGATTTGGATAAGACAACAAAGAACAGTGAAAATAAATCATAGTGTGATATAAATACGCACTTTAGGGTGTTTTAAAGATGCTGTTGTCTTTCCTGCCAGCTTTTCACTGACAGGAAAAAACAGTGGCATCCATTTGAAACAAACATTCAAGACACGTAGGATCCTGCTGGTGTATTTCTTGGCTGGACTTTACCAAACTGGTCTGGCCTGCAACCAGACTCTCACAAATGTCTTTTCATCAGCAGCTTTTTCTGAGTGTGTTGGATGTGACTGCTACCCTGTGCTCATTTTCCTCACTTCTCCTTCTAGCTTTTGCAAAATTGTAAATAGGCATACTACTGAACGAGACTTCTCATTCAGGGTATACTCGGACACTTTGGCTGTTGCTGTTTATGATGGGTCACAGCTAAGATCCCCGGTCAGGATCAGACTGCCTTTGTTCCCAGAGACGTACGAACATGCAGGAAAATACAGCCTCCGCTCCTGCAAGCTTCCGGTCAAACTAAAGCTCTTGTCTCTATTGACTCCAGCTTTGCTTTTATTTCCTTGTATTTCTGCAGGGGCATTGGGCATCTCTTGGGTGAAATATTATTGCCAATACGAAAAAGAGGCAAAAACTTTAAGGATGACCCCCATGGACCAGAAGCCTGGAGCTAAGCAAGTGAGTTGATTTCATGGAGGGATGTCTGCAAAAACTGACCCTGTCATTAGCTTTCAACTTCACTGATTCTATTTTATTTCCTTGTATAAGCAAATACAAGTGTAAATACCATGTCCGGAGCAGATGTAGGCCACCCCCACTGTAGGAAACCATAGTTTGAACGCTGCTAGTTTGTAAAGAGCGTTGACAGTGAACTGAATACTGAATCAGCGACTGCAGGTGTAGAAGGGCTCTTGCTAGCCACAGGGCAGAGAGATGGGCTTTGCATCCCGTTTCCCTGACTGCCCACGTGTATTTGTGGTGCCAGCGTGAAGGAAACATTTCTGTGAGGAAGAAGTTTCATCTCTCCCTGTTGCACAGGAACTTAAGTTCTTCTGAATTTGCCAGTGGAGATTCCAGTCCACATCATTTGGCCGAGGTTCAGTCAGTGCTAACTAGCACGTTTGGCCTAGTGCATGTAAATTCTCTAAGAAATTTCTGGCTCGAGACAAGCTAACCTGTATGTTTCTCCCTGCAAATGAGTGGTGAACCTACAGCCTGATTTGCACATCTGCCTCTGGGAGTAATTGCAAGTATTTGAATTACTGGAGTTACTTGAATGCTTCCATTAGCGCTATCTCTTTGCTTTGCCTGGTGTGTGATTTTGATTTCTGTTCTTCAGAATTATTTACTTGTAAGTGGGAGCAGCGTTAGGAAAGGAGGAGAGGGAAGAAGTTGCATCTCTAAACTGTGCAGTAAAGCAACAAGTTGGGGACCAAAGTGCTTTGTTTTTTTCCAGTAAGTTGATTTATCTGAGCGTTCCTATTGTTTCTCAGTTTAATAGAAACGGGGCAGGATACAGGGTTAGATGACAGACTGTGGCTCAGAATACAGCAAGTGAGTCCAGCTGAGTCCACCCGTCCTCATCTCTGCCATGGAGCGACATCCCCTGGGGACTTCCAAGTCATGCATGCTGTTTTCCAATTTGTGATCTCATAATCTGTGTTCTTTGGCAGCCCCTGCACATTGCAGCAATAAAATAAAATGTATTTTTTGGAAGCCCTTGGCAGAATCCTTGGCAGGGCAGCGTCCAAAATATTGACTAGAGATCTATTGTCATCTGCATTGTAAACACGTCTAGTAAAACACATTAATGCAGGTAGGGGCTTGTAAAAATATAAATTAATATCCTTCCCAAACTTTTGCAATCTGGCAGTGTGCACCTTCAGGCCACAAATGGCCACACAACTTCAAATGTAACAATTACAAGGAGCGCTCTCAGGAAAAACAAAACACGGCCAGGAAATTATCATCACGGTGTGTAAATCGAACGTAATCTTGGAGAAGGCTACCCATGCTGCTGGCCTGTCCTGGATCTGCTTGATGGACTTTTGTCAAGAGTCTTGCAGACTACAGCAGCAATGGCAGTCGGTGTGTGTAATGCATTGCGGGTTGCACATTCAAGACCAAGGCCTGGTTGGTTTGTAAAATTTCCTGGAGTGTCCCTTCAGTTTCTGCAAAGTAATGGAGACCTTACAAATGTATTATAAAATGATTGCTATTCACCTGTAAAATAAAGGTCCATTAAAATATAGGGCCATACCTCAGCCCGGCAATATAGGCATTTTTGTCAGTGTGTATCTACTCTGGATTTGGTCAGTTAACATTCTTCTCTTTAACAAGATATTTTTGGGCCATGAATACTACGGATAATTGGTAGCACTGATTAACCCCAATAAAAATTATGACCCAGCTATGTCATACAATAGACAAGCTTCATCCTGGTCCCTGGTCTCAGAGAACAAGTGATTTCCAAAAGGTTTGTTTTAAGCAATCTTTCTGCTCTGTGGAGGCATATTGCTTGTTGCTGAGGTATTTAGCACTTGTTTGCAGGGTAATCCCATGAAATCTAGAACATTTTGTTACTGTGGAGAGGAAGCCTGGTTTACAAAGCCTTTGATCTCCGACTTAGTTGTGGCTTTGCTGAATGGTGGGAAGGACAATCTGTGGTTTCCTTACAAATGCCATCTGATTAGCAGGATGCCTGCTGAGAGCATGAAGTCATGCCTGATGTCTCTGTGGACAGTGCCATGCTTGTTTGCAGCCTAAAGATGCTGAGAAACCTTAAACCCTCTCTCACCTTTCTTTCCTCTAATCTTGGCTTTAATCTTTTTCTTTTCTAGGGCACCTTAGACTTGACATTGAAATCCTGTGTAAGGAGAAAGACTGATTCTATAGACAAAAGGTTTTGTTTTGACATTGAAACTAATGAAAGGTGAGTCAGAAGGTAAACTACATTTTGGCTGTAGTACTGTAGCAACGTAAAGGTGTCCTAGGATGAGATTTGCCTCATGACATCGACTTTTAGACGTCTCCCTATGTTAGACTTTCATCTTAGGAGAGGTGAATCACATCTTGAAGTGCCCTTTTCTCTCCATGGTCTGCAAAAGGATAGTAGATCATCTCATTCAGAGGAAGGTGTCTAAATTTGAACAGATGAATCCTGCTCTAGGGATCTGTACAAGGGATGTTTGCTTTGAGTAGGCAATAATCCTTCCTGCATGGGCAGCAGTACTGTGCTGGGGTGGAGGCAGGGGCGCTCCAGGTTCCCTATCTGGAGGTTCGGTGTTTTGTCACGCCCTTCCAGTCCTGTGAAAGGATGAACAGCCTCTGTGGGGCATCAAGAAACTTGCAGTACCGTTGCTGGCATTGGGTGCCATCCTTGCCCATCTATCTTTAACCTTGCCTGTATATGTGTATATGGATAACTGTATTGTCAAAGATTCTCCCTTTAGGTTAGTTTTGCCTTCCAAGCTAGCAGTATGATTCTGTTCCCACTGAACTTGGTCTTTTAGCTATTATGGGACCAAAATAAAAGTCACAAGAGAATGAACGTCATTGAATATGTGCGCTGTGAAAGCCTTGTTACATGCTGAAATCTTAGGAAAGTAGCAGGAGCTAAATTGTAGATAATCAGACCCTCTTTTATCATAAAAGGATGCACCACGCAAACACTGTTTGGTCTCTTACTGCCTTGGACACCACACTGACTTCTGCAGTTTATCCTATATTTTCTCCTTTCTTTTCCGTACCTGCTTTTCTTGTGCCAACCTATGGTTCAGTGTTAAGGCATTTCTTTCTTTGGACTGGCAGACTTAAAATGATCTTGGATTTTTAAAAGTTATCTTTAATCACTAAAAGTGGGATAGAGATGACTCAGAAGTAAGTTTCAGCACTTTTTGTCTGTATCTACTGGCATTAATTTGCAGTGTTTTTGAACTATATAGCACTGCATCAGAACACGCCTTATGCAGTGTCTTAGAGACACTTGCATGTCGTAAGACTGGTAGAAGAAAGAAAAGGATTAGCCCATTAATAGCAACCCAGTATGATTATTGACAGTAGCAGGGGTCTCTCTCAGATGTGTGATTAACTGACCATGTCGTATCCTCATAGTTTGCGTTGCCCAGGCAGCTTGAATCTCCAGCCAGTTTCTTTACTCAAAGTGAGATCAGGTGGGAAGACCAGCACAGAAAACGGAAGTTCAGTTGAGTATGTACATGTGTAAAGTTGGAGTTTGTTAGCATGGGATGGCATGCAGTATGATCCCACCTTAGGTTTCACTTCTCAGCCTTTGTCTTACTATATTAGGTGTCTTCACCTGCTGCTAGAACCTTTGGTCTGCAAATGTACAAACAAAGCGGTAGGATTTGGTCTGTTCAGTCGTGTTTAATTGTCTCCAGTGATGTTGACTCTAGTGGGTTACTGGGACAGAGCTGGGGATAGGATGTGGCTCGGGCTGCTTTGTACAGACATCTTACACCATTAGAGTCCTACGTCATTTATCTGACTGGACTGCACATCGTGATCTCTCGAGGTATATATACTACGATGGATCTGATCCCGTTACCAGGCCAGATGATTCTGTTATTTGCTGCGTTTCTTTCCTTTGGCTTTATCTGTCACTCAGGAGGATCATTCTGCTTACAAGTAATGGGAACTCCTCGCAGGAGGTTGTAAAGGTCTCCAGAATGCTTGGAGCAAACGAGAGAAGCGGCCAGCCCGACGCTCTGGCGCCTAGGCCTCCAATTGTGTAGAAGATAGCAGATTGCGTTTCTGCCGTGTGCAGAGCAGAACAAGAGGGGGCAATTGTGGGCACTGTGACTAATTTGCTGAAGCTTACATATATGAAGACTAAATGTGGATTTCTTGGGGATTTCTTCTGGCAAAAACAGAAGTATGTACGCAACCTGTTTATCTGTGTTGTCTCAGCGCTTCCTCAGTAGGACTGTGAGAGGAGCTTTCTTGGAGATACTGCTGATAATTGGAGTAATGGGTGTGTATTGGCCTCTGCTAGTATTACTATCATTTCTCAGCCTTGCTTAGTATTAAAATGACCTACAGAAAGGTGACCCCTGTAAGCTGGGATGAAATCTCTCCCTGCCTGTTTAAAAGTAACCTTTGCTTTATTTTCCTGTCTCACGCTGGACAAACTCTACATAGATCTGGTACCATCACATTGCAAGCACTTTCCGAAGCTAATCGAAGGCTATGGATGGAAGCTATGGATGGAAAAGAGCCAGTAAGTATTCAAGGAATTGTTATACTCCCCATGATTATGCTGTCAGACAGTGTCCTCTACTGGTGGGTTTTGAGAAAGGTAAATAACACAACTTGGCAAGCTCATTTTTGCGATTTTTGCTTCACTGCTATTGCTTACCCATAATTTGGGGCATCAGTTCAGCTACTACACATTGGAAAATTGAATTGAATACAATTTTGTTCTAGGCAGGGCTTGTCATGGGGGTATTGTTTTGTCCCTTTTTAAGCTTTGGCACGTTTACCTAGTTATATTGACCGCAACTAGCAGCCTTCCTGAAAACCATGATCTAACTGGGTTGGAAACAATCAGTATTTCTGTTAGGCACAAGTTACTCTCAAATCTGCATGACATGATATTTTGTTTATTCCTGCCTTGACTGGTGTTTGTGAAGTCTGCTCTGTGCAAACAGTCATCCTGCATGAGTGTTTGTGTGCCTTTAGTTGCTGTTATTGATTTCCTTCCTTTAATCTGGGGAAAGCACAAGCTCACAGAATTTCCTGTAAACGGATAGCATGATGGGCAATGTGGGAAAATAATGTTTCTTGCTGCTTCCCGTTGCCTTTTGAGAGCTCCGTGTCCCTAAGCAGCCTCTGCAAAGAGGGTGGACGGTGCCTGCGCTTGCTGAGCTGCTGCTGCTGGAGCAAGGCTGGGCTGCACACCCCGTGCAGGGCTGGGGGTGGGGGGTGGCCGGTGGGACCCTCAGCAGGACCTTCTCCGTAGTTTAAACAGGAAGCAATTTGGAAAAATTTGACAGGTCAGTATGCTCTTGCTGGAGAGCCATTCACTTATGTAATATCTAATGTTCATTGGATGTTACATAATACGTTATTATCTATAAAGGATTTTGAATTTTTCTATCAAGAATGGCACTCACCATTTGTTATTAATAAAAAATACAAGAAGTATTTTCAGTATTGGATGAAGAAAGAATTTTTTAACATTTTGTGTTTAAAATAAAGAAAACACCCTTGGGCCTGACTGTGCTGCTTCCAGCTACCGTTTTTACAGGGTACCTATAAAACAAACAGAGGTTCTTGTTCAGTTTTTGGAAGACCTTTTTTCTAGAAACAGGTTCACCGATTAAATTTAGGAAGTCAGCAAACTCATTTGTTATACAGACAATGATATCTTGCTTGTATTTTAAGCTGACGTTCTTTGGGACACTGTTTTACTGGCTTTGTGACTGGCAATAGGTGATTCATGAGGTGCTGCATTTTCTTTGCAACAAATAAATACCAAATCATGTTGCATTATGTTTTTGTTTCTTCCTTCTCCGTTCCCTCCCCCTTTTTTAGATCTACCACAGTCCCATCACGAAACAGGAGGAAAGTGAGTCCTTTAAGTGTCTTTTCCTGTAAAACGTTGAAGCTGTGCTGAAGTGGGGTAATACATTTGCTCATAGATGTACTCGTCTTTGATCTCTGCTGGATGGGCTCTGCATTCCCTCCACGGGGTTAACAGCGAGCTACAGATATCATTAAAACCTACAAGTCCTGGGGGTGCCGACTGGCCTCTGGAAAGGATGTTCATCACCTTGCAAGCGTGACCTGTTACTCCCTGACAGGGAAGAGCTATTTGAGCAGGCGTAAGAGATCTTATCCTAAAATCTACCTCCTAAGTATCTAGAAAAAAGTTAGTTGTGGCTTTTAAACTCAGGACCTTTGAGATGAAGGTGCTTGCTGGTCCTTCTCAAACAAGAACTGGCGGCAGTATAACTTCTTGCCTTTTTGTTGCAGTGTCTGATACCGAGGCCAGATAAAAATGAGCTGCAAACTGTAGAAGTTATTGATTTGTCATGTGCAGCTTTTAGGTAGCAAAAACCAGACGGATGCAAAGTTAAATTTGCAGCTGAACCCCAACAGAGCAAAGGGAAAAAAGAGCAATGAGAGATTTTGAGGACATTTCATATGTCAAACATTAAAATAAAAAAGGAGAAGGGGCATTTAGTTTCCAGAAACTCCAAATCCCACCACATTGCTCCATGTCTCTCTCCAGCTCCCCCCCGACAAGCGAGATACAATCTGCCCCCTGCCCCTTGCAGCTGCTGAACGGGAGCTGACCCCTCTTAGCTTTTCCTCCTTTTGCAACCTGTTGCTTGCAATATCTGAGTATGCTGGATCAGAAAACTATGTGGATGCATTAGCTGGATGAAGATTTGCGTTCTGTATCTTGGAGCTGAATCGACTGGCCAGTCAGCACTGTAATTGGCTCACTTCAGTTAGCGTACAGGTACTATTAGCAGATGCATAAGCCTAAAACCACGGATTTGTCTATGTTTGTATTACATACGTGGAAAGAATGCGACTAAACGTTGCTCAAAAGTAAATGCACTCTATTTTTAATAGATTAGAACTGGAAAGACTTCAAGTCTTATTATACAACTCAGTATCAAGTATCAAGTGGATCTGTGCTTAAGGATGTCTTTACTTAGTCCTGTTTTAAAGCCAAGATATGTTTGCCCTTTCATTCACTGGTGTTTAGAGAAGAGAGAATCTGTAATGACTTGCTGAAAAAATAGTGATTTTGTAAGATTCACCAGCACAGTCTCTGCTGTGACTGGAGATGGTTCAAATGTGTCCTGTGGATGTTTCTTCCAGGACAATGTTGTTTTATTTTTATTTTTCACTTGGAACAAATATTGAGTTTTCCACAGGAATTTTAAAGTAAAAATGTTATTATCTTTTAAAGTGGACAAAAAAAAATGATACTGAAGTCTAAATTTAAGGAATGTTTTACTTTCATTTCAAAATGTTAACTCAAAGCCAACATTTTCAGCCAAAATTCAATTTGAAACTCAAATAAAGTAGTACTGACTTATGAACCACAAATGTTTAAATGCAGAATTTTCAACAAAAATTTCATATTCTAGTAAACTATGTTCCCAGCCAGCTGTATTACACAAATAAGAGTCTTTGAAAAAGTCTGTCTCTTAATTTCATCTGAAGGCCACTGTGAATAAAAAAATTGCAGAGATCTATTCCTCTCTGAAATAAAAATGTATTTAGTATTGTCATTTAGGAGAAGTTCAATGTAAATATTTGTACTGGACAAAAAGTTTCTTCATGATATAAGTTACACCTGTAAATTACAGTGCAATCCTTTACTATCCCATATCCTGCAGTACTTTGTTATACCAGATAGCCTGGAAAAATCATGAGAAGTAATGTGAGTAAAGAAGTTGAAATATATATATACATATATATATAAAAAATCCCTAAGTTTCTGCCTACTTCATGATGCCTCTAAGACAGGCACAGTGAGATAGTCTGTACTTAATTGGTTGGAACAAAAATCTGTGTTCTGCTTTGTTTATGCAGTGTATAAAGCTGTATTTTTTACTTTTTTAATCTAGTCAAGGAGATAAGTAAAAAATTATATGATCCTGTGATGTGGAAGAACTTTAATTACAGATTTTGCAGTGCTCTGGAAATGATTAATTAATTCCTTATCAGACACAAAGTCACATGTGACTAGACTCTGATTTCCATTTTTATTATTAAGGATAGAAAGGGGGGAGCCCATAACGCGAAACAAATTCAAGAAAAAAACAGAGAGCATACAGAACTAATACTTCCTTATCGTGTTTTTAAGAATGCATGCGTTTTCATAGAGACATGTACACGATCTGTATAAAACAAATACCCAGTTGCATAGGCAAGCCCTGCTGTGCACTTAGGCGTTGTGGTTTTTGTGTGCTGAGTAGTGTCTGCCTATGTGGCCTTGTCAGTAGTTTTCCACTAGTAACTGTATGTTGAGGCTCATGCAGCTAACACTGCTTCCCTCTGTTTGAAACAGTGGAGTTGAACGAGGTTGGCTTCAAGTTTGTAAGGAAGTGCATCAACGCAGTAGAAACGAAAGGTAAGATTGCAGCAATGACATCCAGAAATCCCTGGCTTCCTGGCGTTCATTTGTTCGAGTGGCCTTGAATTACATTGTATTTTCTTCAATATAGCATTGTTAGTTAAAAGTCAAAGTCTCGTTTCATTGCCTGAAAAACGCATGTCAAAAGAGCAGAAGTCATATGCTACTTAGAATATTCGTTATGTCAGACTCCAGTTAGGATTGAATTTTCCCTTGTATGCTGTTTTCATTCATCAGTTTTTCATCTCTGGCTTAGAAAAAACTCATTATTAGGCAGAAGGTGAACAGTTTTGGAAATAATTTCTGTGTTGGAGGAAGAGACAGGGGTTAACTTAAGTAAAGAATTATTCAGACCCATTTTGTGAAAAACACTAAGACAAAAGCGGGCTAGTGGATGATACTTCACCGTTCTGGCTTTTTCATGAAGCATGCAGCTGGCACCAGCTTGTATCATCTGTACGGGCTATAGGACAAAGAGATATTGCTTCATGACATCTGAATTTCCCAGTTGGCCACAGGAAAAAGATACCAGCCTTTCAGAGGACATAGCCACCCAAGTCGCACTGAAATGGAGGGGAGTAGACTGATGAGAGCTGGGCAAATAAAACAATTCTATTTTTCCTAATGTTGGTTAATATTTTCAAAGAATCTGCTTTAATGTGTTTGCTTTCTGTTATAATTTGAACAACTTCATTTTAAAGCAGTAGTGTTTACAGAAATGATGTATTGAAGTGGATATTGCTTGCCAGCTCTGACACGTATTCCATATGTTGGCCGTAACTGCCCAACAGTGATGCAATTTAGGCAAAAAGTACGTTCCAAAGTAGTGATTGTGAATAGTCAGCCCTTAATGCTAGCTGTTTCATGTCTTTAATCAAAGAATAGAACTTTTGTCTTAATAATGGCATTTAGACTACTGTACAGTTGCCACCAATTGCCATTTATTAGTAGAATGAGAATAACTTGGCAGATGTTATTTGAAGAATAAACCTGCCCAACACTTTTATTCAGAGGTAGCATGATGTATTGAGGGACAGATTTGTAGAATGTTTGGATTCGGAATAAAACAGTGCTTCCTATAATAGAAATACTTACAGTAAGCACTCTGACACCTGTGAGATTTTTGAATGAATAATATTGTTCCACTAGGTGGTGCTTTTGAACTTCCAATAAACTCAAAAAAGCCCTTGGCTAATGCTTTTTGGCTTTGTTATGCACAGGGATTACTACAGAGGGTGTCTACCGAACTGTTGGCAGCAATATTCAGGTGCAGAAGTTGCTGAATGCCTTTTTTGGTAAGAATTAATTATCCTGGGTGACTAGATTGTGTTGTTTTTATATTTTTTAAGAAAGATAAGGAGGATCAGATTTCAAAATGAAATCAATCTGTCAAGCAGAGAATTCCCTCAGGCAGCCATTCAATTGTAACAGTCCATCTGAGGCACACCTGACCCTTCTTTTCTGATTTTTTTTCTGCAAGCTGCTCGCTTATCTTTAAGCTACATTTGTTGCTGATGCAAACTGTATTTTACGTGAGAAGTATTGACATAAAGGAAAGCCAGGGCACTAGAGCAATGGGGACAAGCCTTTTCCCATCGTATGCTAAAATACTTAGGCATTTTGGAGTAATGTGCTGGGGACATGCTTCTGCCACAGGCCCAAAGTATGGGGCATCCACCGAGGAGAGATGAGCCCTTACCCACCGATGAGCCTTTATCTTCTGCTGTGTCTCAGAAAGCATTGCAAATCCCTACCTTTGAGGTATGGTTTGAGGACCTGGAGACAGGCTGAAGTGTAGTGTTGGGGGTGCAGGAGTTCCCAATCAAGCCAAGGCAGTAGGAGATGTCCCATGGAGAACAGCATTGCTTGCTAATTCTGGCACACATGTCACATATTTGTCTTCCTTGCCCAATAGTCAAGCAAGATTTATTGCTTACGTGGCCATCTCGAGTCTTGGTCCTCTGCAGAACCACATGTCCTGATTTTTATTTAGACAGTGCAAGCGAGGACCTAACATGAAGGCTGATATTCATTGGTATGCTTTTTCCAGAGTACCTTGGCGTGCAGACAGACTCTCTCCTAGCATGCCACTGCTAGTGAGCTTGCCTGGCTAATGACGTTCATGAGAAGACGCTTTTTCCCACGGGTCCCCACCCATGGGTCTTAGATCAGCCCATGCGAATGAGTTCAGGAGGACCCTTTTCCGCTTTGGGTTATCCTGGAGAAGTATACTAGGAAGCTGCCCTCAGCAAAGATGTGCCATTACCCTGGTTTAAGGTGTGCCACTCAGAAGGGTTGGGATATCTTGCTGTTAGGTTGAAATCATTCTTCATAAATGCCAGAATAAGGCAAAAGCCGGTGAAAGTATTTGCAAAATCCTGAACAGACAGGTAGCTGTGAAGGCTTAAGAGGACTGTAAGTGGCAGAAATGTAAAGAACCAATGTGTTTATCTCCATAGTCCATCCATAAAGCCTGCAGGTGTGTATCCTTCCGGTGTGGTGAAAGTACGGAGCTCAGTCTGCATCCTCAGCCTGCTTTCTCCAGGGAGAGCTTTTCTAGGGGGTTCTTTTCACTGCACCTTCACTTCCCCAAGGATATCTGTTCCCAGGCCCAGTAGGAGATAATCTTGATGCTCCTGCTCCAGGACTATGTCCCTTCTTCCCTGCCACTGCTGCTCAGAAACGCACCTGTGGGTCAGGTGTCGGTACCTCCTGTGCTTTCTGAATGTCTGCAAATTTTTAATCCATTGAGGGGAAGGAATATGTTCTTTCCAAAGAGAAGCCAACGTATACATCTCTGTTATAAGCCTTTCTGTACAGTGAATCTTATATTACATACGAACATGTAAATTGGCAGGCATACAAAACACAGGTTAGTGTTGATGAGCTATGTGGCTCATTATTGACAAGAACATAACAATAATGGGCCATTTGGGAGTTCACAGTGGGACTGAGAGGGGTCTGCAATCCGGTATTTGACAATTCCTTTGTTTCCAATGGTGTGGTTCAGTGTAACTTCATTGACTTCGGTGCAGTGGCTCCTAAATTTACACCAGAATTACAAAAAAAAAAAAAGGAAAAATTTTGTTTCCAATGGTGTGGTTCAGTGTAACTTCATTGACTTCGGTGCAGTGGCTCCTAAATTTACACCAGAATTACAAAAAAAAAAAAGGAAAATGTGCCCTTCAGAGAAAATTCTAACACTATCTATAGTTCAGTGTTGTTTCCATTTATAAAACACATCTGTTGTCAACTTCTCAGGTCATGTCCAAGAAAGGGCAGTAACCAAATACCTCCACTTATCTGTTGGCAGAACAAACAGAATAACTGCCCTCCAATGAAATGTCTTCTGCAGCTGTGTACATGAAAGAGGTTTTGGGTAAACTCTCTGTGCAACACGCTGTGGAGGTCAGAGCGTTGTTCCTCGGGGGGAATGCCCGCCAGGGCTGGGGTTCGCTGTACAGCCGCCACGATCCTGCACCCTGGCACGCAGCGCGTGGGCAAGGGGCGGCTGTGCGATCAGCTGCCGAGCCCACAGACGGGGCAGGCCTGTCAAATACCCAAAGGCCAAACCGGTCTCAATGTCTTGGCTGGGAGGACTGGAGCACAGGGCAAAAAGTGTATTTATATGGGTATCTGCATGGCTTGGGCATAAGCCAGCTTTCTTCAGCTCCCTGTGTAGACATCTGATATTGATGTAGCATTCAAAGGCTGTTATTGCTTTTACTATTGTTGTTGTTTATTAAAACGGTCGATTTGCGCTGACATATAGCTGTACCGGATTCCCATGGAGTCACAGCTTCAGACAGCTATCCAGTTACACTTGCCTGATGACTAATTACTTAGCCTCAGTTTTTACTGCTTTTTGATTCTCACCCTCCTGTGAGTAGCTCTGTGTTTTTCTCTTCTGAACCCCTGCAGTGGGTGGCTTTTCATTAGTTAATATACACTGTGGTCGGTTGACCACTTGCCACCCCACTCTGTACAAATTCCTCATGGTGGAAAGTCCAACCACACTGAGTAGAAATACCTGATGCAGAATTCCTTGCTGAACTTCAGTGAGGAGCTGGATTTTTGTCTCTAGCCCTATTTCTATTTCAAAATAAATCACACAGTTTGTTTCTTTAGTCCAGCCCCCCCCACAAACCACGTCCTTTACTTCATTGTACCACAAAAATGATGTGGTTGTTCAGTGAGGTCAGATGTGAGCAAAGTATTATTCCATATTGCTTTGCCTTCTCCTCCATGCTCCTGCCTTTCCTTGCACTAAGAAGGAAGACTTCCAGCTCAGCCTTAAAGGGAGTAACCAAGAATAAGGGATTGGAGCTGGACAGTTAAAAAATTATTTTGAATATCAGAAAGCTTATCTTGCCTCTGTTGGAATGTGTGGTTTCTACCACTTCCCCTGAGAGCAGTTTTGAATATGCTGGGGAAAAACAAACTGTAGAGAATATGCCTGCACCAACTTTTCACTGCTACTTAAATATTATGTTCTGCTTCTTCCTTTGCCGTTAGTTAGCATTGCTGTCCTCATCCCCAAATACCAGTCCTTCTGAAATATTAATGCTGTTACTATTACTCTGCTTTTCCTGACCGTGAGGAATGATCAGCTATCTTCAGGTACTGCTGTAGCTTCTTTTGCTACCAGAGCATAACCTGCCTGTTGAGTTTGCTATTTATAGCAACCTCAAAATGGACCTATTTTAAAACCATTCTGTTCTTCCTCTCTAGATCCAAAATGTCCAGGGGATGTAGATCTCCAAAGCGGTGACTGGGACATCAAGACAATTACCAGCTCACTGAAGTTTTATCTCAGGTAGGGTGCTGGATTGCACCTGCTCAGAGTGGGCAAAGGAGCTTGGGACTGATGGTGAGGAGCTGAGGAAACTGCCAGATTTTAACATGTGGCCACTGGAAACGGAAAAGAAGTGGCAAAACGCTTTAGGAAGGGATATGATTTTGGTTTTTTTGGGAGAGGGTTGCACAGAGGGGATATACCTGTTATAGAAACCCTGCATCTCATGGGGAAGGCCATTAAATAATCTGATTTGGGAGGAGATACCACTTGGAATCACTAGAGGGCAAATCACTAGAGAACTGGAGGGCAAACAAATTTCCTTTCGGTTCTTCTTCAAGAGTAATCCTGCACGGTCACGGCTGCCCCTTCTAGCACTCACTGTTCTTTGTTTCTTGCAGGAACCTGTCTGAGCCCGTCATGACATACAAACTCCACAAGGAGCTGGTCTTGGCTGCCAGTAAGTCGCCCAGTTTCCCTGCTGATAGTCCCTTGCGCTGCCCTTCCCTACCCTTGCTTGAGTTTTGTTTCCTTTTGTCTGGTGCCAGTGGCTCCACAGAGTGCAGAGGAGGTTTTGCGGTGGCATCTGCGTGCACCGAAGCTGGAAGTGTGGCAGAGGACGTGATCTTCCCTGGCACACATCTCCTCTTCGTGCAGAGCTGTCAGGCCAGCTGGACCCGCTAAGGGAGCTGCGGGCACTTCTGCTGCTTGGGATTCCCAGAGCTCGCTCGGGAGCTAGTGGGGAAGGAGAACCACGTGGTTCACCCGTGGTGGGGAGGAATGGCAAGAATGGAACTAGAGAGGCTGAGAGGCAAAATGGCACCGTAGCAGTCAGTTCTGCCCGGAGCCGCAGGACTTGAGGCGCGGCTGGCCAGTACTGCTGTACGCGGAGCAAGCGTACGCTGGAGTCGCCTGCCAGCAGCCCTGCCAGGCTGCCCCGCGGGTATCCGGCTGCTTGCCGCCGTAGGAACAGAAGAGACCCTCTCTCTTCTGGTTTCTTGATTTTGGAAGGAAGGTAATGATCTTTCTTCCCTTCTTCCCTTTGATATTCTGGTGCACTTCCTCGTAACAGGTTTTCATGCTCTGAGAGGTTTCAGGCACCCAGGGGATATTAATTAACATAAAAGCAAATGATCCCAAGAATCCTAGAAGAATCGTTTCTCAATACTAGTAATATATTTATTTTTAAACCTGTGAGGTAATGTGATGTAATGCCATTAAGCAGATAGTTAGATGCTCCCTTTAGGTTGTCAAATTTGTCCTGGGATGTTGAATCCAAAATACCTACTGGTAGATGAAATGCATTTTTCTGCTGCAGCTTTTGGGACTGAGTCACAGCCCGTATTAGCAGAGATAAGCGAAGTAACGTGGGTATGCTAACAGGGCGTGATCTGTGCTAAACTAGCCAGTCTTCAGCTGTCCTGTTATTATGTCTGTTTATGAATAAGCCATAGTAATTTTAAACTGGCTGCATCTTCAGACTGTGTTGAGAATCAGTGAGCTAAGATGGAGACGAGGGGGATACAGGGAGTTAATCATCTTCCTCAGGGTGAGAGTGCTGGTATTTGGAAATTTATGGTATGCACTGAAACATTTTGGATGAAAACGTCCTTCAGAACCCCCGAGTCTCCTTGAAATCAGTGGAAGGGTAGGAAAGAGCTCAGCTTCTCCTTCAGTTGGACCCTTGGAAAATTAATAACACTTGTTCTTTCTTGTAAAGGAAAGTTTTCTACCACCCACTGATTGTGCTCAAGCCCAAGATTTATTAGTTTCAGGAGTGATTAAACCAATGATGGCTGAGTATGGGTAAAACCATAATCCCTTCCTTACCTTCCCTCAGAAACTTGCACCTTTAAGCTTCCAGCCACCAGGATCCCACACTATTCTTTTCACACTGAGTATTTTATTGTTTCTTGATTATTTATGCTTCTTAGGGTGACCTCTTTGGGTCAGGGACTCCATTTTTTTTCAGGCAGTACATTTTACCATGTTGTTCAGGATTATAGCTATCTGGGCTGATAAGAGATTCAACAAACAGGCCGGAGAGAAAGAACTGGTCTTGTTCCCCTGGAACTGCCCCGGGCACGTTGCAGCTGAGGTGTGGAGGGGAAGTACACACCTGTGCCTAGCGTACCTCCGCAGCCCTACACTCAGGGGAAGAATCCAGCCCTGAGCTCCCTTTCAAGCTTGATTTCTCCCTCTTTCCACGTCATTTTGTTTCTCACAATGCTTACCCTGTCGCTATGTAATACCATGTTCCTTCTGCTTCCCATCACTGGGTTTGGCAAGCCATCCCCACATTCTGGAAGGAACAGCACCCACAGATTTCCTTCATTTTTACCTTTCTTTTAGGTATTTACTTTAAAAGTGACAGGCACAAACTTTTCTTTGTGTTACTTCTTTCCAGAATCTGAGAACCTGGATTACAGGCTGGGAGCCATTCATGCTCTGGTCTATAAACTACCTGACAAAAACAGAGAGATGTTAGAGCTCCTCATACGACACCTAGTCAAGTAAGCAGAGAATTTTCTCTAAAGCCAAACTAACGGAGTCAGCAAAACAAGCCTATCTTTTCTGGTAGTAGGTTTGTAAAATTCCATCCAACACTGTCCTCCTAGGAATTTATTTTTAGACTGCACAAATGGTATGATTGTCCTTGATATCCACTGGTGTTTCTCTTTCTACCTGCCAATTTCATCCCCTTTCTGACAAGTGCCAAGCAGGAAATAATTTTGAAATGAAAATACAGTCTGACAGAGCAGAGCTATAAACACATTGCCCCTCAGTCCAATTAACAAGAACATTAGGTCTGCGGTTTGGAAACAGTTGTAAGACCTGTGCCCTTGGGCTGAACATGAAACATATTTTGGTTTCATCTCCAGCTCTGTGGGTTCAATATTGAGTCCCTACAGCAGCATGAAGCATTGAGCATTTCAGGTCTTCCGAGCTTTCTTGCTGGCCTGATAGGAGTGGATTCCGAGTGGCACTGAGCAACTGTGCCTCCACTGGCTCTGCTTGTGAGTCGCTGAAAAAATCAGTTACTCGATGGCTATGGCACCAGGGTTGCATTGGGAAATGGTATTTTCTTGCCTTCCTGTCATGCCGATTATGAAGGCTCCAGGTGGAGAATCTGCTCTTCCCACCCCTTGGAGGCTGGGGGCGGGCAGCAGAGAGAGAGGCATGTTGTCATTAGCTGTGCTGCAGATCCTGGCTGGGATCCATTTCTAGCCTTTGCATGTTACGTATTTTTAAAAACCCTTTCTGTTAAGTGGCAGAACTGAGAGTGTCTGGCTTACAGTTTGATGAAGCTAACACTGTTCTTGTAGTTATTATGTTTATTCCGTAAAGAATTTACGTTTAAATTCTGTCCCTGGCCCCCTTTATACTAAGAGGAACCACTTGAACACCAGAGCTACAGGGCAAACCCAGAATTCATTAGATTTCAGCACCAGACTCTCTCTCTCCTCTGGACCCAGAGCTCAGGTTTTGTTCCACTTTTAAAACATGTAGCGTTCGTGGAATTAATTAATGCTTCACTCAACGGTTGGTGCTGCTCCACAGGTCTGCATATTACCCCAAAACTTGAAGTCTCTTGAATAAAGAGTTCTCGGTTCACTGAAAACTATGATTCTTTTAGAAAGAAGATGGTGTAGAGATTTCTTGAAATCCTTCAAAGGTGTCCTCCTTATGTTCAGTTCTCCTCCTTAAAAGAGAGGAAAAATTAAAGCCAAAAGTCAGTTTTGGGTAAATAGGATATTGCAAATTAAATGATTCCTTTTGTGTGTGTTGCACAGATGGCTTTTGTTTGCAGAGTTAAAAGAGGAGTTAGAAGTTTGAAGGGATAAAATAACAACACTGTCAGCATGCTGCACTCTCGCTGTTGTCCCAGCCGAAAAAGGTGCATGTCGCAGTCAGAGACATGTTTTATTTCTGGTAAGGTTAGGAAACAAATTCTGTTGGAACAAAATGAAGAAAATTGAATGAATGACTCTCATTGTCTCTCTTAAATTACTTAGAACAAGATAGATCTTAAAAAACAAAACCAAAAACTATTCCTTCTCTCCTTCCTCTCCACAGCATATGTGAGCACAGCCGAGAGAATCTGATGTCACCATCTAACATGGGGGTGATATTTGGACCTACCCTCATGCGAGCACAGGAGGACACCGTAGCAGCAATGATGAACATCAAGTTCCAGAACATTGTAGTTGAGATCCTCATCGAACATTTTGCAAAGGTATAGATGGCAGTCCGGAGGAGCTCATCCACAGAGCTCCATAGCTGCTCTGTAATGTTCATGCAAATTATTGCTCTGGCAACAATTTAGAGATTTGGCTCCTCTTTCTGGATTCTCCTTAGTGGGTTGTTTTTTTGGTTTTTTTTTTTTTTTTGTGATGTGCTGTAATATACCAAAATGCATTGGAAGGAAACAAAAAGTGTAACAGATATGTGTTCCTCACTGTTTCCTTTAGTTAGTTCCAAAGGAAACCCTGAGTCTAAGGTTTTTTTGCTTTTCTTTTTAAAGAAGGGAAGAAAGGTTTTTACTGGAAGACTTATTGCCTGTGCATTACAAGAGTTTATGCTTTACTTTGCTGAAGAGTGGAAACCAAACTAGAGAGTAACTTTTCATCTGGCACGATCCAAGATGAGACAGTGTAGAACTATTAATGCAGGAGAAAACCGAAAGCAGACAAGTGTTGATAGACTGATGAAAATAATTCAACTATGCATAAGATCTGATAAAATAGAAGGTATTAAATGGGTGGGTGGCTTAGATAAATCTGTGGGAAGGGGGATGGCTGTCTGGGGTTGAGCTGATAGAGAAGACTTTAGCCTGTGGCTGGCATTGTCTTTTCTGTTTAGAGTAGTGCTCTGCCATAAGACAGTGGCACCACATTTAGGACTACATCAGAATTTTTCTTTCAGGGGATCTGTGTTGAATATTTTGGTATGAGAGCAATGCCTAGATACACTGTTGGGCCCAGGTCTGCTGTGGTCGGTGCTGAACATAGACACGTTTACTCATGTGTAGACAATAGGTTTTGTGTTGTGGCCTTTTGTGTCCTGATGGAATGCAGACTATTCCACCATCACTGTATTAGCAGTCTCTGCTCGTGATATCTGATACAATTGCTTAGATTTTGGGGGGTGACTAGAAAATGATGGAGTTCTATGATAATATTTAAAAACCTGATAACCATTTGCATTCATTTCTAAATTACAGAATGTTCAAAAGATCTTTTATATTTTAGAGGACAGGGAAGTTTGAAGACATCCTTTAAAGTGGGAGTTACTCGCTGTCAAGGCGGTGGGGTGGAGTTCCCAGCAGACAGGGCAACACAGGTGACAAAGTGAACCTCCCTGCTAGGAAAGGAAGAGGAGGCCAAAGCCAGAAGAGCAGGGTATTGCAAAAGTGGATGAGTAGTAAGAACAGCAACAGCCACCAGACAGGTGACAGATCATGGGTGTTGAGGACTGCAGCCAGAGAAACGGGAGCAAAGAGCTCTGAGAGGCTTTTGAGTATCCACACAAGAGGCTCATGAAAATAACATGCCAGTTTCTTTGTAAGTCACCGTGAACACTTCTACATAAGTTCTCACAGCAAAACAGCTCATTGTTTATACGTTGGGCTCTCGGGGAACATGCTCTAGAACAGGATCTCTTTCTTCCCGTATTGTAAAGTCTACAGTTCAGGTTGCGGCCAGCAGAGAGAAGCCAGAGTAAACATATAATTTACACTGCCACCTCTTAAGATCTGGAATTAAATCTTTAATTAAGCCAGAAATCTCTTTGCTTGCTTTAATTTCTTCAGTGATAAGGTTAAGTTAGTAACATTTATTAGACTGAGCTTGTAAGTTCAGCTTCAGAGTTTAAAGAGTCTTCAACTCGCACATAAGCAAACACTTTAAATGAGTCTGAAGGAAGAGAAAGATATTATTTGTCTGGCGCAATATGAAGAATCCAAGGACAAAGTAACTGTTCATGAAGTCTTTAGATAATTACTGTTTCCACAATTTATATTTCGGTGCCATGGTTAAATTAAATAACTCGGTCCCTCTGGAAATACCTTCTTCACTGTACAAACCTTCTGAATATGAGATGTGGTCAATATCTTTGTACCCTCAAATTGTTTAACTTGGCTTTTCATTTAAAAGGTAGAATGAAAGCAGAGGCTGCACCCACATCTGAAAAACAGTAGTATGGTGGTGCATTTTAGCATAGTTTTCAAATGTTGTTGAAAGGCTTCTTATGCAAACAACATTCCGTGGTACCGGTATAAGAATTAATGGAGAACTTTACACTTCTTCTTTCACTTTAAAAAGCAATTTTGGACTTCTGTCAATATATATGAATGAGGTTGATATTTCAAAAAAAATTACTCTGCTGCAGATAGTCCATTGCTATTTAATAATCCATTAGCTGCTGGTTTTAAATCATGGGCTGTCCATGTCACAGCAAATTCCTCTGAATGCAGAAGGAACACACTGGACTTCTGTATTCTAGGCTGGAGAAAATGTACTTGCCCTGGAAAGGACAGAACCTCTGGTGCCATTAAGCATCAACCGCCAGTCTGGGTTGCAGGATCCTGAAAGAAAAGAAGCTGAAATGATCAGATCAGAATTTGGAGCTGGTCCTGAATCTTTGCCCTAAACTGTCCAAGGGGAGCCACACACGCAGCGGCAGACTATGTTGCTCCTTGTCTCTTCAGGCAGAACAAGGGGGCAAAGACAGGAGCGAAGGTTGGGTACCAGTAGATAGCGTTTATACCAAGCTTGCTGAGTTAGAAACCTGGAAAAATTAGTCTAGGGAGAGTTCAGATCCTTGCCTGTGTGCTGGCCTGGTATGGGGAGTCGGGCTGTAGAAATGACTAGCACCCGTCCTCACTTGCATGTGTTCTACCTAGTCTTTATGATCAAGAAGTGAAAGAAGTTGGGGTGTGCTTTTGTCTCTCCCATCTTGATTTCCCAGAATTTATCTTGGCTGGGAGAAGCACTAACATACTTTTTTTTTATTGTAAAAATGACATATGTAGTTGAATCAAAATGTTTCTTATTTTTAAAATATATCTGGGTGACGCTACAGAACTGCTCTTATAACAAAACACGTACCAAGGGAGCAGTGACTGTTCAAGTCAGTTATCTATCTAGTGTGATCTCTTACTCTCTGAGGTTGAGTCATTTTCTGTGTTTTTTTGCGGACATCCTCCATGAAGGTACCAGTTCTGCCCTTCTCTCAGGGCTGGAATTCCAGCCTCAGGTCTCAGCAGCCCATGCCACGTGGTCCGTGGTAATTCACTGTTTAAAGCCTGATATGCCTTCAGTTAATATCCAGGGGAAGAATACAAAAGCGTTTTAACTGGGGCCTTAATGTGGTATTTCAGATCTTCAGAAGACCATCCAGACGCTATTAGCTGTCAGCTATTAAAGAAGCACTGACATAAATAAGAACATCTAAATTAAACCAAACCAAACAGGAGCCGTACGACCAATATGAAATGGAGATAGAACGCTAACCAGCAATTTTTTTAATGCCAGTGTTTTATCCAAGATAATTTTATAATGCCTGAAGGGCATTTTAGTGTTAAATCTAAAGGGCTTTTTAGTGTTAAATCTAAAACACAGCAGTGTTTTGTTTTGGTGCTTTCTTTAGATTATTTTGCCTCACTAGTGTGGAAAAAACTTTTTCTCTCAGAAACCATCAGCTTCAAAGCATGCTTAGGCTGCTCTGAGATAATTTGCTCCTGCAGATTTTGTCTATATTTGTAATTTTATTGTACTGATTAGTTTAACACTTCAGTTGTTGAAGTGGATGTGCAAGGGTGCATAAGATAAAAAGCCCACACCAGGGCACACAGCAGCCCACAGCAGGCATATGTAAGGCTTCTATAATGAGCATAAATAAAGCATTTGGCAAAACATCAGCTCTGCTGCAGCACCTTCCTGTGGCCTTAACGTGCAAAGGCACAGGCAGCTGAGGATATCCTGGATCCTGCCAACCTCTGATTAGTAGCTCATGCACAGACAGTCCTGATCCTCTTCCGAGGGAGCACGGGTTTTGACCCCATGCTGAAAGAGGCTCTGACCACAGCGTTACTGGGGGCAAATGCCTGCGAGATCCCCACCACGCTCTCTTGGGCTACAGCTGGCCAGGCCAGTTTGGGGCAGCGGTGGCTTTCCCAGCAGTTCGGGCTCGGACACCGTTCATCAGAACCGCAGAGCCACAAACACCTTCTGTGCAGTCGGGCGGCCCCTGCCTGCCATCGCCTGGTCTAGCCAAGTCCCTCACGTTCCTCTGGAAGCAGCAGGAACCTCTGGTCTCGGGTCCCTGTGCCTGCAGGGACGTAGCCATGAGATTGTTAATTAACCTGCTGGAAGCCAGTGAAACGCCTTTTATTTAAAGCGTCAGGAAAGCCTGCCTGTGTTGGGGGGGTGAGTTGGGAGTCCTGTTTCTGCCTCTCAGCTTGCAAACAAAGGCTTTGGTCCCTGAGGGGTTTTGCCCTTTCCTGGAGTGGGTTTAGTGATTCCAAACCCATGGGAGAGCCGGCCCGGCTGTCTATGCAGCCATTGCTGAACTGCTATAAAGATGCTGCCTCTGGGCTGAGGAGAACCAAAATCGGCTTCAGAAGCTGTTTTTTGTGCACCACGCAGGCACCTTAAATAAGCTCTAGCTACTTTGAGTGAGAGCTGTGAGATGTACCTCTTCCTGGAGGGGAACTTGGTGAGGGAGGACCAGGCTTCCCAGTGGCAGCGCGATTAGCGAGTGGAGACAGCAAATGGTATAAGCCAGTCCGTTGCAAAGGGAGTAGATGGCTCCTCAGGGCTCAGCAGAAGCTTCACTGGTAATCTCAGAGCTCCTCCTGGGACTGAAGTGATTAACATAATGTATAGTTGGTGATGCCGGTAAGAAAATTGCTCCTTCCCTCAGCAGTATCGGTCAGTTGTGCCTTGCAGTATGCCAACAGGGGTTAGAAAAGGGAACAGGACAGGGTACTGCAAACTCACAAGTGGCCTGGAAGGAGCAAAGAGAGATCAAGCACTCCCTGCTTCTTCTGGTGCAAGAAGTTGGGGGTGAAATTAGTGGAAGGCACATTCAGAACAAATGTGGGAGATTCTTCACTCATTGCGTGGCTGAACTGCCAAGCTCCTTTCCAGAGTCAAAGAACCCAACAGATTCAAGCACGGGTTTGACATGCTGTCCAGAAGAGAAATCTTTGGAGAGTTATCAAGTGCACAGATGCTGCATCTGGCCCAGGAGGGTTTCTGAACTGCAAGCTGTTGGAGGCTGGGAAGGGTTATCAGGAAAGGCGTCGTCCGTGGTGGCCCCGATCCATTTTTGCCTATTTTCAGAGACAGGTTGCGGCCTGGATGGAGCTTTAGCTAGACTTGAGGCAGCGGCTTGTTTGTGTTCTGATGGCAGGGGAGAAAGTGACACCACTGGTTTTCTGCAGATGTAGAATCTAGCGCAGGACAGAAGGAGAGGAGTCTCCCACAGCGTGTTCATCACATTGTGAGAAGTGGGACCCAGTTCTGCTGCTGTGTTTAATCATCCTTCCTGTTCTGAGCTCTTTGTGTTTTTAAGTGTAAACATATTCTGCTATAAAGATGCCTTTTAGTGAAACCAGATTAATGAGAGAAGCCTTTGAAAGTGTCATTTGGTCCAGTAACAGAGGACTCGACTGAAAACATATATGTCTCTGCAGATCTACTCTGGTCCCCCAGAAGACAACACTGCTCCACCGGTCCCTCCTCCAAGAGTGACTGCCCGGAGACACAAACCGATCACCATTTCCAAACGTCCTTTGAGGGAAAGGCCTGTCTTTTTTGGTGCTTCTGTGGGAGAAAGTGAAGGTCAGTTCAGCTCTTCACTGACCTCCTATCCATCTCTCATCCCACCTATTTTTCTTACCACCTTTCCAGGAGCGATGGAAAGCAGTAATAGCAGCACTGCATTTCCAAGGACATGAACACGTCAGGCAGTAAGGTCTCTCGTTCACAGTGAGAAAGGAAAGCAAAGAAATGCTCATGCAGAGGTTGCATCGTCTCACAACTCAAACTCCATGGGTTTTTTTTTTGGTCACTTGCAACACTCTCAGTTAGCTAAACTAAAACACCTGGCTCTTGCGTATGAGAAGCTTATAGACAGCTTTTGCAGCTTCAGAGGTGGAAGTGAAAGTAATGCAAATAGAACTGAGAAACAGAGGGTGGGATGGGGGCAAACGTCTATGGGCTAGGGGTGTGCCAAGTGCTGTTTGAACTTTGTCCAGCAAAAGTGCATTAGTCCTGAGAGAGTCTGCAAAGGTGGCTGAGCCATTAACTATTTTACGTTCTGAGTAAGAACACTGAAGCACTGTTTTTCAGGACCTAGTGATAGTATTTTTCTAGACCAAGTACAAATCTTCTGTTAAATGCATTCAGTTGTAAGGAAATGGTAAGGCCCTTATTATCATGCTGAAGGACGCACCAGTATAAAATCATGTTTCTCTTTGCACCGGTTTACTCTTAATTGTTGTTGCAAGCTGTGCCCTGGAGCACATCACCACCGAAAGAGATTAGAAGTCTTCTTCTCTGTGATATTTTTTAGAGCTTTGATTATGTTTTAGGCTTAATCCTGCAAGTGTACCTTTTGGCATTGGCGCAACCTAAGTGATTCGGATAGCTCTTTAAAAATCACAAGATTGCTCATGTAGTTAAAGATGACCTTGCCTTTAAATGTTTTCCTGAATTGGGAGCAGAAGTGTTAGCATTTGACAGCACTGAGTCTGCAGAGTACAATCAATCAGTTGCATAGCATGTGGGTCACGAGCACAGCAAGAAGGATGAGACGAATGCTTTTCGGAGGAACATAAGCGCGTGGTACTAAACTGCAGTGTGAGACTCGTGAGCAAGGGTACTTATTCAGTTTTGTTTCAGCTTTGTTTATTCCTCAGCCCTGGTGTGAGCCGCTTATTTGTATTTTGCTCAGTGTGAGGAGCTGTCGCTGACAAAGCAGCCAATTCTTACTGTTACGCATGCAGTGAGCCTGCTTTTTTGACTATCGCTTGAAAGCTGGGGCATCTCGAGCAAAGCCAGGGGCTCTGTTAGGCTGCATGAGATCCAGACAGCTCTGTACTTGTTTCACCTGGAGCGTTGTCCCCTCTCCGTTGGCTCCGCAGGGGACAGCCGTA